TCACCACCCCCCAAATGGGGAATGGAGCCCGAGAAAACTCCTAAGACCAATTTGGAGCAGAAACCACAGTGAAGGAACCCGGAACCAGACATCAGAGGCGCAGCATTCCAACAGGAACTCAAGCCTTAGCGCTCCCAGGATGTGCGCGTGCGCCCTCTGCGGCCCCGCCCTCCTGCGCAGGCGCAGGAAGGTGGTGGACCGGCTTCCCAGCGTCTCGCGTCTGTGTTTGGTGGTCCCCTGTCTTCTGCGCGCTCATCTTGCTCAGGTGAGCGGTGCTGCTAACGCGCAGCTAGGCAGTACTCGAGCCCGCCGCTGAGACAGGAGGTGAACATGAGACCCAAACTTTAAGGGATGACGGAGTCCTGAAGGAATGGTGGGGTGCGAGTGGAGGGTGAGGATCCGCGGGGCGTGGTGAGGCGCTTGAGTCTCCCGGATAGGTTGAGGAACCTTTCCAAGGATTGTGATGTTTACTTAGAAATAGAACGGGACAAATTAAAGGGGGAGAAAAGTGAGTTTTGGGAGATTTTGAGGTTCAGGTAGAGAGGCGTGGATTATTGGGAAGAAGGCAAGGGTAGAAACAGGAGGCAGAGACTTATTTGATCTAATTCGCCCATTGTGGACTTCACTGTGACTCTTGTGGTCAAAGGGTGGAACTCTGTTGCAACTAGGTCATGGTAGGAGATGACAGCTCATAGAGAAATTCAAGTGCAGAGAAACACATATCCATGCCAGGACTCGTGGTTCTCGCTTTAATCCCAGCATTGAGGATGCTGAGGTAGAAAGAACCACAAACCAGGACTTGTCTCGAAAAGAAAAAAAAAAAGCCAGAACACAATGACAACAGCAACAAATAAATCCCCAACATCCAAAAATGCCATTTACATGCAACTATTAAATCTGGTATCAAGCCTGTTTTGCCAAGCATACATGAATTTATACATTTTATTCCTGTATCCTCCTCCATCTCCCGGAATTCTCTTTTTTTTTCCTACATTGGCAGTATATTATATTTGGAAACATCATTTTAGATCTTTAATCTACTTCTTGGCATACAGTTCTTAAAATTTTTGGACTCCCTGAGCTGGAACTGCCATTTTGCATGCCAAGGAGCCCGACACCATCCAACATCCACTAGGGTAGACTCCAGGTGGAGCTGGTAACTGAAAACCTGAGCAGGATTAGAGGGTGGGGACTTTGAGCCCAGCTTTCAGCCCGTAGGGCTGAAAGTCCAGTAGGTCATTAATGGCCAGTGTTTAATTAGTCAAGTCCATGTAATGAAATGTCCCAAACATCCTTAGAAGACTCATTCAGAGGATCCTGGAGAGTGTGCCTAGGGATAGTGTTAGCAGGGTCATCTCATACTTTACCTTCTGCATCTTTTTATGCCCCGTGTAATGTCCTTTATAATAAAACAGTAAATGTAAGTTAGTGTTTCTCTGAGTAATATGAACTTCTGGGGGAAATCCAACTCAAGGAGGGATCTCTGGGGCTCTATGTATAGGTGCTAGTCATCAGAAAGAGGTGACACAGCCTGGGCTTGCATCTGCAGTAAAGTAGGGACATCTTGGGAGATTGAGCCCCCAACCTTGGGATCTGATACAATCTTCAGGCAGACTTTGTTAGAGCCGAACTGAGTAAAAGGGCATTCTTCTGGTGTCTATTGCTGACACTTTTAGGGTCCCAGAATTCAGTGCTATGAAGTGAGACTAGAGGTAAAATAAATAGTTTTTCCATAGAAGTATGAAAAACCCAAATAGGAATTGCTTCTTTACCTGTGTATCTAAGACCAGTGTTCCAGAGAGGTCAGGGCCAGCAGGTATATATGCTGTCAGGATATCTGGGCCAACACAGCCCCCAACACAGTAAATGGGACATGAGCTCTTGACCCCTATGAAGTTAGTGCTGTAATCCTGGTCTTCACATGGTGGCCTCTGGGTGTTAGTAACATCGAGGAGTATGTCAGGCCTGGGAGAGGCCTGAAACACAGGTGTGTGACCATGAAGTTGCCTCTCTACCCCCAGCTGGGAACTGCTAGTGATGCACTTCCTCTGCCCACACAAACCTATGGAAACTGCGCATCCTGGGCAGAGCCACCCCAGAAGAAAACAGGAAAGCACTGGAGTTGGCACTCTGGAGGAGATGAGGTGGAAACAGTGGATGGTCTCATTGCACTCTGAATATCTAGAGCACGCCCTGCAGCTAGGCTGTGGTGTTTGAAACATCCTCAGAAGCGTGGCTGAGCCTCCCAGGGTGGAGATGGGAACTTCTGAGGGAGTGGAAAGAGGGTCTGCTGCAGAGCAGGAGGGCAGGTAATGGAAAAAGCCAGTCTTGCCGCCCCCGCTCGGACACACTGCCCCACTGTTCTCCCTCTCAGCCCTCTCAGAGGAAGGTGTGCAGAATGTTGCGTGTTCTGTTACTTTGGAAATTAACTAAAAATAGGCTGTTTACTTGCTATTGAGTTTTACTCAAGGGCACATGTGTGATGGAAATGCTGAAAGAGACCCATTATGCCAATCCCAGTGTGTTAGGAGTCACATTCAAGTGACGTGGGCCTATTCCCCAAGAACGTCATTTATGTGAATTAGCTTGACACCCAGGGGTTGCCTGCCATGACTTCCTACGGTAATGTGCCTCTCACATTCAGGGTTCACACAGAGCTCCTACTCTATCTGTACTGGTGGAAGCAAATCACAAGCTAACAAAGGAAGACACCAACACAGAATTCAGGAACAGAGCCTCTCTGGAGGTGCCCTGGGTGCCCATGGATCACACAAGACTCATTTCTATGAAAGTCACCTGTGATGCACAGAGCCAGTTACCTTTGGAAAGCTCTCCATGGTGTGGGAGTGCGGTGGTTGTGGTGGGCATTAGGAAGGTTAAGGGTGCCATGTAAACTGAAGCTTTAAAGTGGAAGAGCAATTCAGAATCAGGGACGCTAAGAAAGGGGCAGTAGAATGAAGCTCAGAGCCCCATTGGGCTGGTCAGAGGTGGACTTCGGAAGTATGTTTTCTGTGATTTGTTTGCAGTGCTCTCCCACTACTGTCCCAGAACTCAGGCCTCCCATATGCTAAGCAAGTGCTTTACCCTAAGGGATCCTATATTCACAAGACTTTTTGGTGGAAGCATGACATTTTATAATTCTGTTTCCTGACTGATCGGTGGCGAATAGGCTGAAGGGGCAGGATGAAGTAAGAAGGTCCTGGAGGGGCTGTGCCAATAAAGGATGACACTGCACTAGAGAGGGTATCACTGTTGAGAGCTGTCAGTGTTGCCAGATAGGGGTCACAACCTGTGCCCCAAGCCAGGTCTGAGTAGAGCCAGATTAAAAGTGGAAAGCAGAAAAAGGAGATTTATTCAATGTGGCCACATTGGGAAGAGGGACAGAGAGATCTAGTGAACCTCTAAGTCCTGGAGTGAGACTAAATAGAAGGCCAAATATTTGCATATGTAAAGTAGTAGAGGTGTGTCCCTGCCCTCCATTAACCCATCCTTGTCTGGATTTCAGTCTCCTGTAAGGTGGTCTAACAAGTTGTTAGGATTAGGTGAACTCTCTGGAAGGCAAGTTACCTCTGGCTAGTGTCTTTTCCTTCTCCCAGTTGAGATTCCTGGGGAGATTCCCATCCCTTTGGGGTCCATTGTTTCAATACTCTGATAGATTGAGAAACACAATTGTCCTCTTTAAAATATCTTCACTTTTGCAGGCCTTTTACCTTAGGATTTGTTTATGTGTTTAGGAGGATGAGGAAGAAAGGGGCCCAGAAAGACTCATTGTTCCAACAGAGCTTTTGTTAAAAAAAGAAACACATAGCCAGGGCCTAGTACAGTGTGAGGTACCCAACAGATGACCAAACAAGGATATGGTTGTGGGCCTGAGCTGTTTGGAAATGCCTGTTAGGTGTGACATAAAGATGCCCAGCAGGCAACCAGAAGTCTGAGTTGAAGCCTTGAGAGCTCATGGGCTTGATAGATGTGGTTGGGTGAAGTCAGCTTTGTCATGGAACTCTTACACCTTTATGTCTCATACTGGGGGCAGTAACTGGAGGGGATGATGGCATCTGAGGGAAGGAGGAGGGCAGTATGTGTTATAAGTTGGAAATTGTTGTTGTTGCTGTTGTTTTTGGTTTTTCAAGGCAGGGTTTCTCTATGTTGTTCTGTCTGTCCTGGAACTTACTCTGTAGACCAGGCTGACCTTGAACTCAGAGACCTGCCTGCCTCTGCCTCCCTAAAGGTGTATTCCACCACTGCCTGACTTACCTAGGATATTTTTAGTAGACTTGTAAACTGATGATGTTGTCAAGGAGAATTCCTGGAAAGAAGTTGTGTCTGATTAAAACTACAGTGATGTGGTGAGGTTGGAAAGTTGCCAGGAGCTAATTACTGTATCTTGGGCCCCCTTTAGCTGTGTGAATAGCCAGACATTCCTTGCCCATCTCTCTGTGAATAATATCCTGTGACTAATAGATTAAAAACCTTTGGCATAGGGGGGTGGGAAGAGGTGAGGGGGTGGGAGGAGGGAAAGGGGAGAACTGTAGTTGGAATGTAAAATGAAATAAAAACAAAAAAATCTTTGGCTTCTAGTAATTTAGCAAACCACTAGCTTCTACCAATCAAAAAGCTAAGAATGTCATCAGATAACATCTGAGGCCTATAGAAAAGTTTTCTCCATCTTGCTGTGACTTCTTCTCTGATGAACCCACCAATGTGTTTTACATTTGCTTGATTTATGGCTTTCTTTGCTCTGTAAAAGTATTCAACTTCATGAAACTGCTTTCACTTTGGAACATGGAATTTGTGGTGACCTAAATCTGTGTTGCTGGTCACTCAAAATGGCTCCAGAAGAAAATATCTGTTATTCCATTTAAGGTGAGCACTGTGCTTTTGGTGTTGACAAATGGGATTGGCCACAACCTGTAGTCCATGTCCAGTTATTGGAATTTTGTAGGTGAAGTTTACTGCAATAGCCATATGTCTTGGTTGCTGTGTCACCTGTGGTGGATAGTGACTATGACTAAGACTCATGGCTTCTAGGCCTAAAGTACTTCTTATATGGTCCTCATAACATGTTTGTATACCCGTGCAAAGAAGAGTGAAATAAATGATGCTGAGGAGAAGGGGATTGGATGGAGGACCCCGTGAAAGATCTGGCTTCAAGGGGAGCAGGAGCTCCTTCTTGAGGACTCTGTGGGGAGATATGTCAGTCTAGGCAAGGTCATGGGTCTAACCACTCATGGGCAGCCTCTGCTGCATGGGTGGGAACAGTTTTCTCCTTCCACTTAATATGTGTTTATTTTGGCTTTCTCGAAAAGACATCCTGGAAATCTGTG